AAAAAAAAAAAAAAAAAAACCAACCCAAGGAGAGATACCTGGAGGGAGTACTAGGCCTGAAGAATTTTTCACTGTCTTCACAGGGATTATTTTAACAGCAGAAATAGAGCGTGCACGTATAGGGTCTGCAGTTGCTGAAAACACAAAAGGGTAAATGGTGCATCCAGAAAAAACATTTGGGAAACACTCAGGCGGTGGAGGACCCGGGCAGGGACAATAGGAGGAAGTCGCCCACACCAAAAGAACAATAGGAAGAGCGGTAGATGCAGTAACTTAAAATAACCTGCTTTCGCTCTTTAGAGTCCTGTACCAAGTCACCAGAACCCTCCCATGACCGTCCCCCAGATGCAGCTGATCAGTGTCTGTGCTGCCTGCCGCACCAGGAACTTGTTAGACAAAGAGATTTACAGAGACGCAGATGGCCTGGCAAATAGAGGAAGGGGAGAGCAAGCAGGGTCCAAGGGGCCCCCTGGGAGAAGGCTAGGGTGTCTATGCTGGGGGGAGGCTCCGAGGAGGAGAGTTATGGCTCCTCTCACTCCAGAGGAGTGGAGGAAGGACAGGGAACAAATTTGGGAGCTGCCTGGTCCTTTCAGCCATCACAGCCGCTTCTCCAGGATCGTAACTCCTGGGGTCTTGTGCCTGTTCTGACAACCACAGCTCTCCGGCCCTGAGCAAGTCAGAGGCCCCATCTGTTGGGCAGCAGATGGCCTACTTAAAGCCATCCTTCCCTGGGCAAGAGGTTGCTGAGTGTCCAAGTGCCTGTTCAAGACTCTGGGCGCACTCAAGCGCGAGGCCCAGGGTGCTGACACCAGCTGAGCTTTGAAAGCTGGGATACTGCCTGGGATATGGGTGAAGGCTGCTGTCCTCAAGTCCCGGATGCTCATGCTTATCTAGGCACAGGCTTCCCTGGGCCCCCTGCCTACCCAGATTCTGGAACCTCAATGGTGGGCATAGTCCCAAACCCTCCTTCTCACAACAAGCTTATGGTGGCAATGTCACTCTTGAGCAACACCCGGAGTTCTTACGGTCCCAGATCCACGTCACACCTTGGGGGGTAGGGCTGTTTGGGAAGCAAGACTGTCACGGCTGCATCAGCATCATGCTGACGAGCCTGTCAAGGGGACAGGAGGGAGGCAGGCAGCTCGGAGGTGGGTAGTTCACCTTCCAGTCCATCAGGCTGTCATTTCACAAGGTCCATGGCAGTCATACAGCCGCCAAGAACTTAGTTGATAATAACAACCCTGCACGTGTTAAGATACAAACAAGCTTTCACAGCAATCCTGCTGACTGTTCCTTACGGCCACCTGGGAGATTGGGTGGGAGGATTCTGTTACCATTTGCAGAGGAAGAAGAGAGCTGGTCGGAGTCATCCAGTGCTCAAGCGAAGAGGCCGAGACTGGAGCCCAGCTGTCCTGGCACCTGGTTTACTGAGCGCCCCAGGCCGCCCTGATGACTCCAGGCTGCATCTGCTTCCTCTTTCCAACCAAAGGTGGGTCTTACCAAGGAGCGAGGGGAATGCAACTCCACGGGCCACCCTGCCCGCCCACCTCCGAGGTCCCTTCTGCTGATGAATTCACAGGGCTGGGGTGAGCATCAGACACGCTCGTCTCCCCGTGTGCTCCTCATCAGATGCTTATTAGGCACCGCCCTTCAACATTCCCTAAGCGAATTGGCCAAGGCTGTCCAAGACCCCGAGAACATTGCCTCACACCAGGCGTGGAGAAGAGCGGCCGGGCAGGGAGACACGGAAGACAGGACAACAGCAGGACCCTCCCAACCAACCGGCCCCAGGCTCCCCATCTCTCCCGCTCTCTACGCCTCCCCTCCTGGCTGCTCTTTCTGACTTTACACTTTGCCTCGTCTCAGAATGAATACCTGGCTGACCCAGATGGTAATTACAAAGTCCAAATATGTCAAACTTTGTTTTTTTCCTTTTTGCGGTATGCAGGCCTCTTACTGCTGTGGCCTCTCCCGTTGCGGAGCACAGGCTCCGGACACGCAGGCCCAGCGGCCACAGCTCACGGGCCCAGCCGCTCCACGGCATGTGGGATCTTCCTGGACCGGGGCACGAACCCGGGTCCCCTGCATCGGCAGGCGGACTCTCAACCACTGCGCCACCAGGGAAGCCCCAAATATGTCAAACTTTGTAAGCGTTTTCTTTGAGGGAGGGTGCATTTTGACTTAAATGCCCATGACAGGACTTTTGCCCTCCCTCTTTGATACCATAAGACTTGTGGGATGAACACTGATAGAATCACTGGAACCTGAATCTGAAGCAGGAAAAAATACTGCAGATCATCAAATTCTCTCATTTTCTAGATAAGGAAACTCATAGCCATAAAGACAAAGGACCTCCCAAGAGGTCTCTGTTTACGAGCAGCAGACCAGGACCCGAGCCCCTGTTTCCTCACACTGCAAAGTGACATGGGAAGCCTGAGGCCTGGCTGTTCAGGATGAGAGATGGGACCTCAAACGTCATCTTACCCATCATTCATTTCACACTTACATCTTTTGTCCTAAAATTTTAAAAATTGAAAATCTGAGAGGATGCGCATGAAACTCATGTCACCAAAATAATTTATTTCAGCAATTTAGGCTCTTGCCTCAGGGTCAGGATGGTGAATGTGTCACTATTTATCACAGGTGGAGGTGAAATGCCGGGTAAGAGAGACTGCAGGCTGATAAATGCCATACACACGAGGACTCTGCCCGTGTATTTGGGGTCTGTGGTTCACGGCATCCTGTGAGCTAGGGACAGTTTTTAATACATCACCTCACATTGGGAAACGGCAGCCTCAGACTCCTGATTCTCGGACAGCATAGGAACAGGTCTCCAGGTCACGGCCTAATTAGACCAGTGACTGTTCCCACCAGGCAGGTGGCCCGGGCCCTGCTCCTTCTAGAAATGCCAAGTTTCCCTTCAAGAGCCTTACCTCTGTCTTGCCCATTGCCGCCCGGTACCAAACCATTCACCACAGCTTTGGAAGCACCCACATCGCATTCTGAAAGAAAGAAAGAAAGAAAGAGCCCAAGGCTTGTGATCACGTCTAGCTACCCTTTCCTGAGTCCCACCCGGTGCAAAGCGCTGGCCCTGCAGGCTTCCTCAGGCCTGAAGAAGGGCCCCGGGGCGTCGTAGCTGAGCTCCGAGAATGCTCTGTGGCAGGGAGAACGCGAAAGCTGTTTGGGATGGGAAGTGTGCTGTGAGCGCTGTAAATTCTCTGGCTTCCTGGCTTGGCTTCACTTCTGACATTTAAAAACAAATCTCCTGGGCTTCCCTGGTGGCGCAGTGGTTGAGAATCTGCCTGCTGATGCAGGGGACACGGGTTCGAGCCCTGGTCTGGGAAGATCCCACATGCCGCGGAACAACTAGGTCCGTGAGCCACAACTACTGAGCCTGCGCGTCTGGAGCCTGTGCTCCGCAACAGAGGCCGCAACAGTGAGAGGCCCGCGCACCGCGATGAAGAGTGGCCCCCACTTGCCGCAACTAGAGAAAGCCCTCGCATGGAGACGAAGACCCAACACAGCAAAAATAAATAAATAAATAAAAATTAAAAAAAAAAAAAAACAAAAAAACAACAAATCTCCTTAATTCCTTGAAAATGGCATCTCCTGCCTGACAAAGGCTTATCCACCATTCCAAGGCCACTCAAACGCATCCCTGTGCATCCCGGATGAGAGCTGTCAGACGCCAGGACAGAAACCTCAGTCTCTGTGACACTTCCCTTCACCCCGCCCCACCGCCGCTGCTATGGAAGCCATGCCGGTCCTGCCCCCAGCCCAGGGTCCCCAGCCGAGGCTCCTGTGTTCTGGTTGTGGCGATGACCTGGCCCCCTGACCGCTCTCCTGGCCTTCGTTCTGCCCCTTCTCCACCCCAGCCCTCAGTCTGTATCTGGAGAGCACCCTCTAGACCCCCATCTGGCTGAAAAAGCCCCAGGGAGCAGGACAGAGAACAAAACAGGACAAAGCAACATGATTTTCTAAAACACTCCACTTTAAATATACTGCATTTCACTTCTATTTTATTTTTTTGTCTGTTTTTAACGTTTAAATTACATTTTTACTATTATATGTATTTTTTTATTTTGGCTGCACTGGGTCTTCGTCGCGGCAAGTGGGATCTTTTTTAGTTGTGGCATGCATGAGGGATCTAGTTCTCCGACCAGGGATCAAAGCTGGGCCCCCTGTATTGGGAGCGCAGAGTCTTACCCAATGGACCACCAGGGAAGTCCCTATTTTTGTTTTTTTAATTTTTATTGGAGTATAGTTGCTTTACAATGCTGTGTTAGTTTCTACTGTACAGCAAAATGAATCAGCCATACATATACATATATCCCCTCTTTTTTGGATTTTCTGCCCATTTAGGTCACCACAGTACATTAAGCAGAGTTCCCTGGGCTACACAGTATGTTCTCATTAGTTGTCTATTTTACACATGGTATCAATAGTGTATATGTGTCAATCCCAATCTCTCAATTCCTCCCACACCCCCTTCCCCCTTGGTATCCACACACTTGTTCTCTACCTCTGTGTCTCTATTTCTGCTTTGCAAATAATTCACTTCTATTTTGAGAAATAAAAATATCAGGGTTTAGTCTGGGAATTCAACCATACATGTTATCATTTCAATTAGGAAACAAATTGAACTTGGAATCAAGTTCCCCCAAATGTACATTAGGAATATCGTTTTTTAGTCAGTGAGATGGCCTGTATGTTGGCATAAGTGGTTATATTCAAATGAACAAACTGACCTTCCTGATAATTAAAAGCAAACCAACGAACAAGCCCCAGTAACCAGGAGCTACCCAGGGACAAAGCCTAGGCAACTCATCCCGGACTCCAGGCACTTCAGCCACAGGTCCCAGCCCTTTTCCAGCTGCAGTTCCCTCCTGCCCCTGCCCTCCATGACGGTCTCCTCACAACCCCTTCAGCACATCAGATACTTTCCAACATTCAGGCCTTGGTTCCTGCAAGGCCTTCGGCCAGAAATGCACGCTCCCCCTTTCCTAGCTTGGGGAAATCCTCTGCACCGTGAGGTTCACCTTGAATGTCACCTCCTGTGTACCAGTGGAGACCTTTCAAAGTTCTGCTCAGCTGCAGACACTGAGACCCTCACTGCCCACCGGCAGCCTAAGCCCCACCCAGTTTCCCGTCTCAGAACTGACGGCAGCAGTCCAGAGAAGACAAGCAGGTGGGACATGTGATCAGTGTGCTTGGGGTGCCGTCCCCTGCAGCCAAGAGCAAACCAAGCCACAAATATAATCAGAACAGCTATGGGTTTCTAAAGCCCTCTATTTACCCGGATCTGAGGGTCCGTGCTCAGCATTTCATAATGAGCACCTCATTTTTATTCTTAATACCCAGGCCCCTGGAGCTAGAAGTTAGGCACTCTTATTTTATAGATAAGGAATTTGAAGCTCAGAAAGGATGCCAGGCTCTAAGATCACTAAATAGGGATTTGAAGTCTGGTCTGGTCCATCCCACCCACAGCTTATCTTCTTTGAACCCAGCTAGGATAAACATTTTTTATTTTTAAAATGAAAAAAGCCCCCAACCCCAGCAGCTCATTGGGCTGAGACTTGGTCACCCTACCTGGGCTCTTAACAATCAGCCTCCCTGATATAAGCTACACTGACAGGCCAGCCCAGGCGCTCCTGGATCCAGATGTGAGCAGGGCTACTGCCCCTGTGCCCGCTCCCCAGACCCGCCACAGCGGCCATGACCTCCCGACACTGGCCCCATAGGGCCCGTCCTGTTCACTGCCCCCAATCTACCTACAGACAAAGGCTAGTTCTCCCAAAGTCCCCTTTGCACCTACATTTCTGGGATGGATGGAAGGAGGGTGTTGGCAGAAAGCCAGAAATCCAAGTAAAAGAAATATCACCCGTTCCATCACTCCATCGTTTCTGACTATCCCTTCCCTATGCACCTGCCCTAATTTCTCCTACCCATCCCCTTCCTAGGACTACAGGCCTTGCTTTGGGCCTCCCCAGTGCCAGCAGCCTCTGAGCTTCCACAAGGCCCAGACCCACGTCCTTCCTTTCCTTTTGTGTGTGTGTTTTTTTTTTTTTAATCAAACAACCAAACTTTAAGAAATTTGGAAAAATAATTCCATCACCTCACACTCACACCTCTGCAGCACGGTGCTGGTGGCCTGGGGCTGCCTCAGGAGTCACTAGCCAGGTGACCCCAGACATGCAGCTCTTTCCACCAAAGGTTAAAAACGAATGTTTTCTACATAGCTTTCTTCCGGATGATCACTTTTATTAGTGGCATAATCTCCCATCAAGTAAATACACATAACGAACCTACTCATTCCCCACCTTCATGTGGGTGTTTTTGTTTCCTTTGAATTAAGACAGACATTCCCAAGAGCGCGATTATCAGGTCAAAGGGTCCAGACTTTTTGGACTCCTCCTAGGAAATGCCTCCTTTCAGCGTCACGCCTGAGAGAGAACTTGGGGAGAAGTCCCACAGGCATCTCTGCACCCTTGACCAGCCCCTCCCTGCCCACTTCTTCCCCCCTTATTCATGCCAGGAGTGGTGATACCAGTTCAGGCTTACCCTGATATTAGAAGAACAAGAAACTTTAGGCTGCAGAGCTAAGAAAAAAACAAAACAAAGCAATAAAACCCTGGCCTATTTTGAAGGACAGGAAAAACAAAAAGCCAAGCGAGAAGAAAAAATGAGTTGCAAAGCAGGGACTACAGGCAGCGCCCGAGCCCACCTGGAGGGGAAAAGAAGGGACGTAGCCACCTCGCGCACAGGAGAAGCACCCATGGAGTCAAGGACAAGCCCAGTCCCTCTCCTCGCAAGGAGGGAACCTGAGCTGGTAACCCACGGATGGGACACTGGACAGGCCTCGGGCTCAGTGCTCAGTACTTTAGAAGCACTGCCTCACTTAATCCTCAAAAATCCCCACGAGGTGGTGCTTTCGTGATGTCCATCTTACAGAGGAGAGTGGAGAGCAGGATCCACCACAGGCCAAAGCCCGCACACTCAGTGTGTGGCCCTCCTCCTCCTAATGAGCACACACTGTCCGGCAAGGTTTAGGATTTGGCTAAAAGGGCACTGCACGTAAATAAGCGGAAAGGCTTGTTTTTGACCTCCGGAGGTCTCTGATAGCACCCTGGAGATATCTCAGGATTAGGAGGCCCCTGAGTGAGCTATCCACTAGGTCATCCCCCAGCCCACCCTGCCTGCAGGTCTCAGGAGGTTCCAGGGTGCACTCAGGAGCTAAGGTGGGCCTCAATCTCCAGATGGAAACTTCTCTGCCCCGAATCCTGGGCTGGACAGCTGACGGCTCTTGGCTACAGGAGCAGGTACCTACCTATTCCCTTCTGTCTTCCCTAGCCCGGGCTTTCTACCCCAGCGCTAAACCAAAACTACTCAGAACTGCTCATTTGTGTAGGTCTTGATTTTTACTACCAAAGGCAGAGCAAAAGGGTGGTTTTGCCCTGATAAAGGAAGTGACGGATTAGCTCATACTATGGGGCAATTATGGTGGATCCGTTTACTTGTGCTGCAGTCACTCAGATTAAGAAATGCCACTGAGGTGTATACATATGTCAACATTTATCAAATAAGATACTTAAAATATCCACAAGTTTATTGTATGCCAATTATATCTCAATAAAGTTGTTAAATCGAGGGAAAGGGAGCCCGTTATAAAGATTAGGACACAGTACATGTAAAGTGTACAGCACAGTTCTTGACAGAGGGTAGGTACTCAGTAAATCATTAATAATAAAGGTTGTGATGACGATTTATGACAAAACTTTGACGCTTACCCAGGACTCGAAAAATAAACAATGAAATGCAGTTGGGGCCTTCAGAGCAAGAGGGAAATCTGGGTAAACAGTCCAGTTTTGTAGATTTGTCAGGAAGAAGAAGACAGGGTTTTAAATGACTTACCAGAGCTCATGGTGGTGATAGGACAAGTCTTCTGTAACTGGGGCTCTGCAGAAAAACAAACACCACAATGGAATTGATAAATGGCAGGTTCGAGATAAATCCCTATGGTTCACATTAAAAATGCAAACACCGTACATAAGCCTTGATAAAACAGAGCTGGACCAGGTGTTACTTGGCCAGCCTTCTGGTGCTTGGTTGGCTGTGTGCTAACCTGACCTTGGGTACGTAACTCAAACTCCTTGGCCTCCATTTTGTCAACTGTACTTGGTTTAGATCCTATCCAAGATCCCTTCCACCTATAATATTCTATTAAGAACCTCAGGTTACATGAGTCCATGTGGATCAAGGAGAGGGTGAAGGAAAGAACCAAGTTTTAGGATAGAGAGATAAAATCACAACACAAACTGATTATTGGAGAGTAATAATAAGATTATATATAGCTTATTATGCTCAAGAAAATGTTCTAGGTGCTTTAAATATATTAATTCGTGTGATCCTCACAAGGACCCTATAAGGTAAGAACCAGCATTGTATTAGTTTACACAGATGAGGAAACCAAAGCACAGAGAGGCGAAGAGCTTGCTGCCCATGTGGCAGAATTGGTTCTGGAACGCAGACAGCCCGACCTGAAAGCCCAGGCACTTAGGAACTACACTCTACTGCTTTGAGGTGGGAATGCAGTCCACTTACTCACTGATATGCAAACAGTAACCCTCTCATTTAATATGGTCCCATCTGAAGTCCCCCAAAACCACTGGCTACTGTCACTATAGTTTTACCTCTTCTAGAAGTTTTTTTTTTTTTTTTTT